GTTTAGCCAATCACAACACACTGGGCCAGCTAATCAATCAGAGCCCATCGTGTATTTCTGAGGGAGGGGCTTCATAAAACCAGGAAATCATCAGCGTGTTTATAGGAGAAGGGACAGAGCGGTGTAGAATAAAGGTAAATTATGTGAAATATAATGCGTTTTTTTTTTTTAAAACAAAGCATTAACACATGTTAGACTGCACCCCATAAACACAATCAAGCCTAGAAAAAAAACAGTCAACCACCCCTTTAACCCTATGGCGCTCCTCATTTATAAGTCACACTCATACTCCTCACTGAAACATAAATATAAATTTAAAGGGATAGTTCACTCAAAAATGAAAATTCTGTCATTAATTACTCACCCTCATATTGTTCCAAACCTGTAAGACCTTCGTTTATCTTCGGAACACAAATTCAGATATTTTTGATGAAATCCAAGAACTTTCTGACCCTCCATAGACAGCAAGGGTCCTACCACGTTCAAGGTCCAGAAAGATACCAAGAACATTGACAAAATAATCCATGTGACATCAGTGGTTCAACTGTAATTTTATGAGGCTACGAGAATACTTTTTGTGCACACAAAAAACTAAAATAATAACTTTATTCAAGAATTCTTCTCCTCTGCGTCACCCTAGTGCAATTTTAGAGAGTACCACGACGTATCCGCGTGCTTTGATCTGCACGTAAATGTGGTAGGACCCTTGCTGTCTATGGAGGCTCAGAAAGCTCTCGGATTTCATCAAAAATATCTTAATTTGTGTTTTACGGGTTTGGAACAACATGAGAGTGAGTAATTAATGACTCACTAATGAGTAATTAATGTAATTAATTAGAATTTAAATTTTTGGGTGAACTATCACTTTAAATAAACTTTAACTCAAAATACAAGAAACAGTTTTAAGATATGAATACAGTAAGTGTGATTTATGACAATGTGTCTCTTGTCTCCAATAGACTAAACCAGAGCCCACCCCTGCCATTGCTATTGGAGCAAAAGCAGTCCCCAGCCAACCTGCCAAAACAGCCCAACCTCCACTTACTGGAATAGGTAATTGTGCTTAAACGACTTCAACATGGCCTAGATATACTCAAAGCACAATCAAAGAACAGTAAGATTTTTTGCTTCTGAAATATAACACATTATGTATACACTTCATGGTTGTATTGTGCTGTTTTTTTTTGGGAAAATTAGAATTGGAAAAATATCTAACCTTTTCAAATGGGTCAGAAACATTCATTAAGGGGGGCTTTAGTTTGTGGTAATTGTACCAAATATTTACCGTGGTGCTCATTAATGGCTCTCACTAAATACCAGGAATAAACAAGTATGATGATTTTTAAAACTTCAATGACAAAGAGACCTATAAGAAACAATGCCACTTATGTAGTTTAGTCATGCAACTAGATGGCTACATGCAATCTACTAGCAATCATATAATTGACTAAATGCATAAGCTGAATGGCCTCTGTTGATCTGGCAGCGAATGAGCTTGCTTGCTTGCTCATTTAAATAGCCTGGTTTAATGTTTGTTATTAAGCTGGTCATGCAGCACGCTATCAGAGCTTCTCTGAAGCCTCCCACCTACCCCAGCTCCACCTGTCTACATCTGCTACTGTATTTATATACAGCTATGGAAAAAAATTTAGACCACTGCAACCCTGCGACCACATTTCTCCCTAATTTCAAATAAACATATTGTCATTTACAGCATTCATTTGCAGAAAATGACATCTGTTCAAAATAACAAAAAAAAAAAAGATGCAGTATTTTTAGACCTCAAATAATGCAAAGAAAGCAAGTTCATATTCATTTTTAAACAATACAATACTAATGTTTGAAATCAAATTTTTTTTTGGTGGAATAACCCTGATTTTCAATCACAGCTTTCATGCATCTTGGCATGCTCTCCACTAGTCTTTCACATTGCTGTTGGGTGACTTTATGCCAAGAAAACAACTATTTATTTTGAGATCACAAGAAAACAAGGGGGGGAAAAATAGCTTTTTAGGGCTTCTGTACTGTCACTCACAAGTTACTTTGTTGGGAAAAATCATATACAGTGGTAGTTTTTGCTGTGTGTGTGTTTTACTATGAATTCTGTTTTTTAATAAAGAGAACAGAAGATTGAAACGGCTGGAATATCAAGTCAGTTTGTTTTTGGCTATAAGAATATGTAGGATATTGAAGTGAAAGTGCCCACTCACTTTTGCTCAGGTCCAGCTAAAAATAATATTGTGCTTATGCCACTGATAGATAATATAGACATTCACAATGAAAAGCTCCTACAAATTGAACACCAAATGAATTATATATATATATATAAAAAAAATAGTGAACAGAGTTTTTGCACAGTATGTAAATAATAGCAAGATAGTCATATAATGACATTTTAAACTAAATGAAGTCTAATTATACTTAAAAATCTTGATATTTAGTAAGAGCAATAAAAAGCATATATGCGTGAAAGGAAACATTTGCAAAAATGGTTGTGGATAAATTCTTTGTATGGCAAAATTTCATCAATAAAGTCACGTCAGTCAGAATCCTCATGATGATGAAGCTTACCTAATGGACTTCTGGTGGCAGAGTAATAGCAGCAAATGTGTTTTGCAATACAATATGAACACAGTAAGTACATTGTACTTAATTTTTGATGTAAGTACATAGTAGTTAAGGCCACTTAATATAAAGTGGGGCCAGAAATTCTTCTGTACATATTCGGGTTCAAGTTTGGTGAACTTTGACCTTGCAGTGCTGACCAATAGATGTTTCTTAAGTTGGCAGTTAGGCGGTGCTTCATTAAAGTTGCGCTAAACATTCACAATGAATGAGGCAATCCTTCAAGTGGTGTCTACTTAGTCACTTCTTTATTACGGCACTGGCACTGTTCAAGAATATAAAGTGTTGCAGAAAAAGGCCTCACAACTCACATCCAGTCCCACCTTTTTTTGGCTGTGGAATTTTGCCGTGTAAAATGTGCTCTGTACTCGGCCTTTAGCATTAATAATTAATAATTTGGATTACTATCCAAATTTGCCATGCTATCTATATACCTAATTGAAGAGGGATATATGTATCTGTTGACAGTGTTTCCATTTGTAAACTTAAATCTCTTCTCCATAATTCTCTAGGCTCCAAAGCAGCTCCAAGGCCTGGTGGAATTGGCAGTGCAGCTGCAGGTCAGCCGGGTGTAGACGGAGAGAGCATGCTGACTAAAATTTTGCCTGGAGGAGCTGCAGAGCAAGCTGGCAAATTAGGAGAAGGTGAGCAGAGAGTTTCCAAGGTATAACTAGCATTTTTGGTCAGTTATTATTAACAGACTAGTTTAAATAGTACATGGGTCAGGCCCGGCTCCAGAATCAAATCACTGAGGGTGCTTCTTAAATTAGTGAGGGTGCTAATTTATATATAATTTATTATATATAATTGAATTTAGTGAAAAATTTAAGGGGGTCTGAATACTTTCCGTACCCACTGTATATACAAATACAAATACAAAAATAAGACACTGATTATAACGTAAATTTGTGAGATCGCGATGAACTAAGATGAGTGACTGCCTTTTAGTGATTATGAAGGGAGCACTCTTTATATATATATCATATATTGTAATGCCACAAAGTGCGCTCCCTTCATAATCACTAAAAGGTTCATTGCGATCTCACAAAGTTACATTATAATCAATGACGTTCTCTATGCTGCACAACGAATCTCTTATTTACATCATGCCTAAACTTTGTTATAATGAGATGATTTGTGCTGAACACACCTGAATAAAAACTTGGCTACACTGCTCAATGCTGCACAAACATGTTGAAATAGAAACCAATCTCCAAAGCGCAAATCATAATGCTCTGGCTATTTTGCCAAATCTGCAATGAAATGCCAGTATTACAGCTCTAACTGAGGGTGCTATTGATTTTGTTTGAGGGTGCTTATGACCCTCTAGCACCCCCATAGAACAGGGCCTGACATGGGTCAATATTAACTATTGTTCTTTTCTTAAATCTTTTTTTCTTACAAAAACAAATGTTTATTATTTGTACAGACACAATGCTTTTTATAACCAATGTTATTCTCACTGTTTTCTCTTTTACTTTGTGATTTGCACAGCCATCTCTGGATTTGGCAAAAAGTTCACCTCCTTGTGGTGAGGTAGTACAATTAAAGGTGGGTGCAGTTGATTTTCAGTTATTAGACACTTACCATTGCCCATGTTGTAACTGTAATAAATAAACATGCTTTAAAATAATTTACCCAAAAATTAACACCTGTGTGTGTATGCGTGTGTGTCAGAGAGAGAATGAGAGAGAGTGAGAGAAAGAAAGAGCAAGAGAGCAGCTGACTGAGTAGAGTGTATTGTAACAAGGTGGCATATTTTTAGCTTCACAGTGATTATTCTTATTGTTTCTGTGTTATTTTAGGGCGTCTAAAATGACAGATGATGTTTTTGCACTGGAAAAACCTATGAAGTTTCCCTATTATGTTTTAATTTAAAGAGAAGACAACTCATGAAAGAAAGTGAGAGGGAGAGAAGCTGTCTGGTTGTTCTGGTAAGTATATGTTAAAAATTATATATAGCATATTAGAGTTGGATGGTTTGGTTACATTGGTAACCTCTTGGTTACATATGTAACCTTATTTCCAAGTGTCAGTAGCTGTCATTAGGTGCACATCCTCTGGTGTGATGATTGACTGAGACCTGTATTAAATCACACCAATTTATTGGCATCTAGCAGGAAGCATCTCCAAAATCAAAGCATCTAGCAGGATATTTTATTCTTAGCCAGAGATAGCATTCAGTCCAAACCCACCATCAAAAGACCAATAGCATTAGCCATGTGCTTAGTGTCACAAAGCGATTTCTCAGATTGCCTTGATTGATTTGATTGCCTCAGGGGACAAGCAGACACCATCTTCCATCTCCTTAAGGACCTTCAGCTGGGAACCCTTCAGGACTGTCATGGTGTGCAGCAGCACACTTGCTCAACCAGCAGCTATACAGGACTTTCTGATTAAAGCAGACATAGTCCTACACATTTTGAACAGTATATTAGGCCTCAGTTTCCATTAGAGGGCTGTCGATGGTGAGAGATGAGCCACTAATGGCTCTTCCATTGCCAGCATCTCTAAATACCCCTGTTCAGCCATCTCAAAAATGGCTGTGAAAACAGAGGCAGTCGAATTAGTAATCCGTGCAGGGAAGGCTTGGTTCCAGGACCCTGAGATCTCACAATGGATCCTAAAATCACGGCAGCGGCTTACAGAGCAAATGCGTGCCTGCTAACAACCACTCATCCAACTTGGAGTGAGCCCCTGGCTGGACAGACTCATCCCAATCCAGCTAAAGCCTGTCTACAGCATGAGAAAGTACATGCAAAAGCTCTGTATAAGCTAAAGAAGGGCAAAGGGTGGCCTGAACTCCTCGAAGTCAGATGTGGTGGCAGATAGCACATTAAATCTAAAAGAGATCACTTTACGAGTTTCTGAACTCGGACACAAATCCTCGTATGCAAACTCCACTGAGACATATTAAGCACGCAATCAGGAGAAAGCACGAGAGAGAAAACCGAAGGCTTGCGCTCCATAGCTTCAGGTTGAAATGCCAGCCCATGCGGTGCCTCTGCAGCTGCAGAGCGAGCAGCATGGAGAAGAGACCGTTTCAAGCAATATCTGCCAATGAATTGTTGTGATTGTATATGGGCTTCAGCCAATCGTCACACCAGCTACTGACACAGTGTTGAAGTGAACCTATGAAAGATAAACAAAAACATACATGACATTATGAGTAATTTTATATCATGAAAACAAACTGTTCATGAAAGTATTCATTATTGTTGTCGATAGTTGGCGATATTGCAATTTTTTTATAACATTTACAATTGAATTTGTATTGTTTGTGTGTGTGTGTGTGTGTGTGTGTGTGTGTGTTTTAAAGCCAACCAGGACTGGAATCACAGGACTTTAGGTCTGGGTCATAAATCAAAGGCGACAACACTGTTCGCTCTGAAAGCCAGACAGTAAGTAACTTTATGATTTGAAATTCTGAAATATAAAAATGACAGTCTTAATCCAGGGGTTGGCAAGTTACTTATTCACTTACACTTAAACTTTTTCACACTGTCCATCCACTTTAAAATACATGCTTTATTCACATGGAGATAGCTATGTATGACTTCCCATGAATGGGCTGATGCTGATTAGCCGCAGAGTTGAGAGCTGAGAATGGTGAGACTGGGGATGTGATGATAATGTGTCATCCTAGGGCACAATGGTCCTGCTCATTTGTAACCAAAGACTAGGCATCTAGTTCTTCACTGGAACAACTGAATGCTGGTTTGCAGCTGGTCAAGGGAGAGGCAGGCAGGCACACCCTCACATTCCCTCATTCCTATTCCAATTGGTAGGAGGAAAAGGGAATTGCAAATAAGGCCTGAATGTCCTAAACTGTGTTTGTAGGCCAGTGTAGCAGAGGTGGTTCATGGGAATCCATAAAATTAACTGGATCTGAGCAGAGAGAGCATGAGACAGCTATTGCTTCCTACACTAGTCAATGGAAAAAACTGGTCAACCATCCCTGCTAGAAAAGATGTTTGAATACTAAGCTTTAAAATTTGTGAACGTGTTGCTGTTGTGAGAAACAGCTATTAGTGGAGACCTGGGAGTGTTCTTCTTCACATCTATCTGCAACAATTGTTTTTTTCCTATGCCAAAATTGTAAACTTTTTTTTTTGACCTGTAAATCAAAAAAAAACTTTTATAGTTTCCTACAGAGACATACAACTTCTAGGGCCATATTTTAATGATCTAAGCGCATGGTGTAGGTGCGCACCATGGCCAGGTGCACTTAGGGCGTGTCCGAATCCACTTTTGCTAGTTTAACGACGGAAAAAACGGTCGGTGCGCCCGGCGCATGATCTAAAAGGGTTGTCCCTATTCTCTTAATGAGTAATGGGTGTGTTTTGGACGTAATGTGCAATAAACCAATCAGAGTCTTGTCTCCCATTCCCTTTAAGAGCCAGTTGCACTCGTGCCATGGCGGATTCGCTATTTACACGGCGGAATTTGCAAGCGTAAAGACTGAGCGCGTCTCCAGAGATGAAACGAGCTGCTCATGCGCGAGCAAATAGGTAGCCTAATTCTGATACATGCAATGACTATCCATTATGACATGTAGGCATGTTTATATTTATTTAGCCTACACAATAATAATCTTTTACTTTGTATTCCTTTAATTTTTAATATTTGGCATGTTTGTGTGCTGCTGTGAGTCCCTATGTGTGTAATAAGCAGAGTGTACGCGCGCTGTGGACCCGCCTATAGGCACATATTACTAACACGCTCTTTAAATAAAAAATACTGTGCCATTGACTTTAGACCAGGGGCCCTATTTTAACGATCTAAGCGCATAGTCTAAAGCGCACGGCGCAGGTGCACTTAGGGCGTGTCCGAATCCACTTTTGCTAGTTTAACGACGGGAAAAACGGTCTGTGCGCCCGGCGCATGGTCTAAACGGGTTGTCCCTATTCTCTTAATGAATAATGGGTGTGTTTTGGGCGTAACATGCAATAAACCAATCAGAGTCTCGTCTCCCATCCCCTTTAAAAGCCAGTTGCGCTCGCGCCATGGCGGGTTCACTATTTACACGGCGGAATGTAATTTTTCATTTTTAAAAATGTTTGTGTGCTGCTGCGCGTCTCTGTGTGTATAAGCACGTTGTGCACCCGCCTATAGGCGCATATTACTAACGCTCTCTTTAAATAACAAAGAAAAAATATTGCGCCAGACTTTAGACCAGGTTTTAGTTGGTCAATGGCGCAGTCTATTTCAGTTGCCTCAAAATAGCAACGTGCCAACAATGCGCCTGAACACACCTCGTTTTCAGACCAGCACGCCCATGGGTGCACACATTTAAAGGTACAGGACGTGAAAATGACAACTGCGTCGGGCTGAAACTAGCAAAAAACACTTGCGTCGTGCCTGCTGCCGCATTGCGCCGAGTGTATGATAGGGCCCTTACGGTCAGCTCAGGAGTGCGGTGATCATTTATGATAGGGATTTCTTGCCTCTGGACAGTTTTTAATTGGTTAAATTTACTATTAAGTTAAAACTTACCCTTATTACAACAAACCTTGGTCTTCCTTACTTTTAATTGTTATTGAACTGCCAAAAAAGTAATGAACCTGTTATTGTTAACCGATTATGGTAGCTCCTTTGTAGCATTGTATAGCATTAATGAATAATATCGTTTAACAGATTAATGTGGCGGTAATATTGAAGTTGCTTTATGCCTGAAATTGCATGTAAGAAATATATTGTATTGCTAAAATTTAAATGGGAACTGTTGCTTTTGTTATCAACACCTTTGCCATTTATTTGACATAGACAAATCATATCAAGCAGTGAAATCACTAGTTGTGTTTCCATTACAGATTTGCGCAAAACTTTTGCGATATTTTATAAATGTTGATAAAAAAAACCTATTGTAAAATGACACCGTTTCCATTAACCGATGTTATGCAACTAAAATGTCATTATTTCCTCTCGCGATAAGTCATGGCGATGGATGCTGGTAGGTTTACGTACTGTATATCGCAGCCATTATTTTTAATCAAAGGAGACGTAGGCATGTATCTTTAGCGAAAAAGCGGAGAGCTGCTTCCGGGACGCCTCTGAAATGTGCAGCGGTGTGGCTGGTATAAACACCAAGTATTCAGTTCAATTCAAGTTTATTTGTATAGCGCTTTTCACGATGCAAATCGTTGCAAAGCAGCTTTACAGAAAATTAAAGTTTCTACATTATATTTAGTAATAGCTTATCAGTGGTAACTATCTCAAGTTGATGTCCATATGGCAGAAATGTACGGTAAAATTCAAGCAGTTAGTTAATGTCATGTAATCAAACAGACGGTGAACACTATTAACAGCAATGATTATATGTTGCGATCAAATCAAGTATTGACTAGAGTGGCTAAGATCAGCTCCGGTGGCTGTGTCGGAGCCGTTATGCAGTGTAAATAAGGGATTATCCATCCAAGCATTATTGGCAAGGAATACCCCTTATACTTGAGAGCGGCCACATGTGAGGTTTCTTGGAGTGACTTTTATGCATGCCAGGTGACCTGTAAATGCACCAAAAAAAAATGTTTCCATTGCAGTTTTTCAAATTGCCTGAAAAACCACCTCTTGCGAGCGTAAAAACTTTTTTTTGTGATATGTGGGAGTTTTTGTGAAATTGACGTGTTTCCATTGGGTGTATTTTCAATTCACAATTTCAATTTGCGCAATTTGAAAGGTAATGGAAATGCAGCTACTGACAGTAACATTAACTTAACATCTTGCTGGCACTCCACTACAGGACCTGACAGGACACGACTCGTGAGCTAAAACATTCAGTATGGGTTGCAATAAAATTAAACTCTTCTTAACTTTGTTACATCACTTCTTGCATTGTTTCAAATGACTCAATGTCTCAGAAATGTCTCTTTATGCTTCACATAACTAAAGATCCACAGCAGACTGACTCTTGGGTCCCTGTTCAGAACACAGAAGCCACCTATAAACTGTCTGTAATACAACATTTAAGGGTGAAGTGTGTATTTTTTTCCAGCTCTTATCCCAGTGTAATACACAGATTTAACCATAAGTAAGTCATCCTTATGTTGACCCCTGAAAAGTATGTTCACTGTACACTGGGTGGGTCAGATGGTAAAGAGGGGAAATGTTAGGTTTGAAAATAGTCATTATTTTTGTCATTCCATTTGTTTATACCAATGGAACAGACATTACACACTTCACCTTGAAAAAAAATGTGTTTCATTGGATTGTAATGCCTTCTTTGTATCCCATATTGTTCTTCACAGATTATTTGGGAATTCTGTGTCTGTGTTCTAACCGAACAGCATGGCCAAAGATATTAACAGCCAACTTTGAGCATGACAGCTCCAAACAACCTGCTCCTCCTGGCCTACAGAACACAGTACATGAAGGCAGCGGAGAGCGATGACTCCAGTCGCACAATATCAACAAACTCAACAGGTCAATCAGTGTAACTTGATAATGCCTACAGTAAATCTTGAAACCTGTGTGTGCATTACTCTGAAAACAAGCTGACATGTTCTCATTAGAGCAGCACAGCGAGTGACTTACGGAGAAGTGTGATTCCGTGTTTCTCTTGTTACTTGGGAAATACTTTTCACTCCCCTCTCAGGAACGGAAGAAATAGCAATGTTAGGACACTTAGAAAAACTTCATAGGTTTTTCCTAAAAGAAGAAAAAAAAAGGAAAATCATGAACGTGGTAACTATAACACACATCTCTATGCTAAGTCCTTTAACTCAACATTCCAGAATGAAAAAAAAAAATCCTGTTTGTTTGTTTTTGTCTTTTTTCTTCATTCTCTTGCTATGTGCTCTAAAAGTGTAAAGTGGACAAGGAATGCATGTAATCCAAGACCTTACACTGTTCACAATATCAATGAGAGATTGACAAAGAGGATTTGTGCATTTATACTCCAGCAGAGAGAATATGAAGAAGAGGACGAAAGAAATTCTAGAACAAGCCCAAACATAAGACTCAGATCATCACATAAGACATCACTTGGAAAACAATGTCAGGTTCTGACCAATCAGGTCTTTTTTTATTCATTGTCCTTTCCAAAGTATTAAGAAATTGCCCTCAGGCTGCAGATGGGGTGTTTTTACAACCATTGCACAGCACTGGCGAGTTGAAATCTTGTGCATTATCTTTTTGTTTTGTTGTTCTATTGTCGCCTTGCTATGTTTGTAGAGTGTTTAACATATTTTTCTATTCATGGTATTTATTTATTTTTTTCCACATTGTTTGTATATAGAAAAAAAATAGACTGAAGTTTATTTATATTTTTTAATTCGTGTTTTTTTAATTTTTTAATTATTGTATTGAGTTCCTTTGTTTGTTTATTACTGTTTTAAATCCATTGTTACTCTGTAACTTGTTTACAGCCTTTTTAATATATATATATATATATAGGTTGAATTTTCTGTTTGACGGTTTAAAAAAAGATCAAAAGCAATAGTGGATGGCCGTCAGTCATTAAAGAGCACAATTGTTAGATGTTTTTACAGTAGTGGTCAAAAGAGTGATAGCTGTCTGTAAACCTGTAATATATATCTGTAAGGTTCAGGATCACTGTCTATTAAGTCATTAAAAAGTGATGCCCAGTCTCTCATAATAACACATTAGGTGTCAAAGCCATGTTTTGTTTTAAAAGATTTTTTTAATTAAATAACTATAATAAATAAGAAAAACACAAGGCTAGTTGAAGATAAGAGAGCTGCTTAGTGGAATGTTGGAACTTTTAAGCAAGTAAAGATTGCATGTTCTGAAAAAAAAAATTCTTGATATTGCTATATGTTCTAATGGTATGTGTGAATGATTTTGGATGTGTGTATGTATGCATCTACATTTGTTATCATTCAAAAAAGAAAAAGAAAAAAATCTGATCAACAACAGGAAAAGAAATGCTTGGTCAGAGGACTTTTAATTTCAGACCTTCTATGCAATGATTTTCTCAGCTGAGAAAAATGGTTGTCAGAGTATTGAAACAAAATAAAACAACTAAATCCAAGAATAACTAGATAGTAGCTTCAAAAATGTTACTGATTTGTTTGTATAAGATAAACTGTAATGTAAATACTATAAATCTGAATGGAAATTTTGTTTCCCATATTTGTGGCATGTTTCCCATTTTGTGGCACTGTTTTGAAATGGAGCCAATTAGCCATAGCGATTAACATAAACGTCAATCATTTCTCACTATCCATGGACGGTTGCTGCTAGATGAACGGCATATGATGGGGTCACCATCGTTCATGATGCTTAGTTGGTGCAATACTTAAAAGAAATTACAAATCTAAAGCATACTACAAATATGATAACAATAAAGCAGACATCAAAAAAAAATATATATAAGGAGGTTATATTTGAGAAATATTAAACAAAACAGTTTGAAGGGCTGCCCATTTATCTGGTCTTAAATGATCCTCCTCTGTGGTTGCCCTTCCACAGGCCGTGGGAAATCTTGAGTTATCGCACAATTTGAAGACTTTGGGAACCCCGTTTGGACCCCTCGCTGCATTACCACACACTGTAATATCTGTGCGGTCAGAAAAGCTCTTGAGTTGAGAGGAAACCCAACGACACGGCCTACAGCTACTGAGTTACGTCACAAATTACATTGGTTTACATATATTCGGATATATTTATTTTTTCAAATAGATAATAAATAAATAGCACTATATTATGTAAATGGATTAGAATGTATACGAGATGGCATATAAGAGAGTGTAAAACGAGCAGTTATATAGCAATGTATAGCACCTATAGTCCACCTAAAACACTCAATGGAAAGCAAATCGAGGAGTCTGTTTGTACTGCCTGCAATATGAACTATATTAGCTGTCATTCTGTCTTGCGTCTCAGAGATCTTTTATTTATTTATTTCTTCTGTGTGTGTGTGTTTGATCCTATTCACCTCAGGAAAGCATAGAGTTAACGCACCAAGGGGAGATATATGCATCGCTATAAGGGCTTAATTACAATACTAAGAAAGCCATTCATTCTAACACCCTAGGTTTGTAATTCATTAGGGCTGTTGACTGTGATGTATGTCAGGGAAACCAGATCACCTGCCATTATCTATGCTATTTAGTTATTCGCTCATTCATACATTGTGATCCTTTTTACTAGAAAACAGTTACTCTTGTAGGAGTAAGTATGTGGCACAAAGAAAGAAATAGATGGCAGAGAAAAAATGACTGCTGTCACTCTGTCAAAAAGGAAAGAATCAGCTAAATTTGTTTTAAAATAACCTGATAATTGCATGCCCCCCCTGCTACTCAGTTGCACTGGCAACCATTTTCACAGTTAAAAGGACATGAATATATCTGTAAAACATGTAAATTGTACTATACTTCTGCACACGAAACATTCAGAGCAAGGTGTAAAATGACCTGTTGTTTTGTGTAAATTACATCTAAAAAAGAGCATCACGACATAAACAGAAACCAAATAAACACATAAATATTCAAATAAATCACACTGTGTATGTGGTTGGCTCATGTGGACTGTTTGGAAATGTAAAAAAAAAAATGTATTGAGACACATTTTTGGTCTATGGTCTATACTTGTTGTGATTGTTAATGCAGATAAAAGACTCTTTAAAAAGAGAATATGGCTTCCATATAATTTGTGGGCGGGGAAATTTAAATGGACAAATGTACTTTTGAAGTTTGAAGGTGTTCGGAAAACACAAATAATGTTACATTCACTGTTGTGAGAGCATATCCATATATCCATTGTAAACTTTGTGTTTGTTTCAGTGTATACTTCTGCAAACGAAACATTCAGAGCAAGGTGTAAAATGACCTGTTGTTTTGTGTAAATTACATCTAAAAAAGAGCATCACGACATAAACAGAAACCAAATAAACACATAAATATTCAAATAAATCACACTGTGTATGTGGTTGGCTCATGTGGACTGTTCGGAAATGTAAAAAAAATGTATTGAGACATTCTTGGTCTATGGTCTATACTTGTTGTGATTGTTAATGCAGATAAAAGACTCTTTAAAAAGAGAATATGGCTTCCATATAATTTGTGGGCGGGGAAATTTAAATGGACAAATGTACTTTTGAAGTTTGAAGGTGTTCGGAAAACACAAATAATGTTACATTCACTGTTGTGAGAGCATATCCATATATACATTGTAAACTTTGTGTTTGTTTCAGTGTATACCTGTAGTAGGCTTGATGTAACGTCATGTTGTGTGATGAAAGTAACGATGACTCTTCAATACAATCAGGAAAAAATAAAAGAGGATTTTAAAAAACACCTGAATCAAACTTGTCCTTTTCACTACTATGAAAGATACATGAATAAATGCACTTATTTCATTTGCTAACCTAAATGCCAGAAAAAAAAAATTGTGGTTTTGAGAAGTGCACGTATGGTTAAATGCAAGTATTGCCAATATTTTGATTTAAATATATTGTGAAATTACTAAGATAAGCTGTCCTTTTAATGAATTCAGTTGGATGAAAATGTGATCCATTTTAATACATAAACAAATTGGAGCCAAAAAAATGCAAACAAAGTAATGTTGGTCGGCTTATATCTATATTAGTGGCTGTGACCTCTTGACTAGAAATAATGTTGCTTTATTCAAGTGTGTACAAATCTATGGGGGCTAAATAAAAGTACTTTTAGAATGAGCATGCATAGGAGCGGCCGTCTACAGTATTAGCCAATTACCTCTGTCTAATAACCAAGACTGACGAGAATGTGACCGTAAGATACGCTAACGGCCGAAGCGATATCTTTGAGTGACATGAGCACCCGAATGAACAAGTACAATAGTATTAAAGAATAAATAGAATAATCAGATGTCTAGATAAATTATCCTATAAATGATCAATAATAATTGGCATTCTAACTCAAATGCGAGGTCATAATAAAATGGAGTCAGATTTGAATTTAACCTAAATTTAATAACTTTGCGTGCTGTAATGACCGAACACGCAGGAAACCTTCATCCACCATTAGATACCTCCGTTGGGGCAATCGTGTGGACCTTAGCTTACATAAACAAAGTTTTTTTTTTATTGCATAACAAGAACATTAACACAACATACATATATAGAGGATCACAGTGTTTTCAACTATTATCAATTACATTCATGATAGTATCAAAGGAACTAACAGAAAAAAAAAACTACAGGGGATAGCTTACAATAAATTTCCATAAGAAAATGATTCAAAAATTCCATACATCTTTTGTGCTTTATTTCTTAGATCTTTTAAGGCTTCAATGTAATGCTTAAGTTCAATTTTAAATAATGTAACGTTAGGTTTATTATTAGACCATTTTTTGTTTGTGTAGGCCTATAAGGTATTTTCCATACATACTTATTAATTTAATCACCAAATTTTGCTCCAAACTCTTATTTTTATACAACAAAAATATATCTTTACCAGAGAATTGAATCTTTAAATTTATAAATTTTAAATATTAGATATTCAAAGCTGCAGTCTGTAAGTTGTGCCTCTTTGTCGCCATCTCTGTTTGAAAACCTCACCGGTGTGAATCCTATACTTAGTAATCACAGATTCTAGCCTACGTCTTGGAATATATGACCCAAATAAGAATTTTCACCGTATAGTGTCATCTGAATAAGTAAGTAACAAGTCTGCCACGTTTGTTCTGACCAACTGAGGAAAAAAGCATTACAATAAATCACACTACCAATGGTGATTAAATCTAACGATCGATTAGCTCATATCACATCAAACCGTGCACATTATTATTATTGTTATACTTTATTCTCAGATTTTTAATGTTAACAACATCAGCATTGCGTGGCTAGGAGTATAGTGTGTGTGTAGATTTCAATCTCTGTACAGTCTAATCTCTAATTGTCATACCATTCGAATTTCATACCAAGAAATTCATTTAACCCAAAAAGCAAACTATGCTCTCTTCGAACTGGTTAGGGTGCTTTCACACTAGTACTTTTGGTGCGCACCCGGGTTCGATTGACGTCAGAGTTCGGTTCGTTTGGATGATGTGAACGCTGTCTTCCGAACTTGGTTGCGCACCCGCGAACCATATCCGAGTCCGCTTAAAAGGGTGGTCTGGGGTACGGTTCATGTGAACTCCGGTACGGTTCGCTGCTGATGTGAACACAATCGTACAAAATCGCGGAACTGAACTGCTATTAATGACGTATTATTTGATAAAAATGTGTGTTTGTGTGTGTGTTTCACTCACTTTCCTGACGAGCATGA